GAATTATAAAACCTTTTTTGTAGTCTATAAACGGGGTTTTATAAATAGGACTGGAGGTAGTAAAACTCAATGCTTGGCTCAACCGAATTAGCCAACTTATTGGGTTGCCCAAAGCCCCATTGAAGAATTGAAGTACCAAATACTACCTCTATTTCTTAATAGAAGAGTTAGTTGACTAATTTAAAGAGATTAAAAAAATTAGTTATGTTAGTTATTTATAATAAATATGTGTTATTTTTAAAAAAAATATCTTTTACTAATTAAGTGTATTATATAAAACTAACATTATTATAAAAACTATCCTAAAAAAATAAATAAATATAAAAAATAAAATAGATGAAATAATATTCAAACAAATTCTTATATTAAATTTCGATGTACTATTTTAGAATGATATGCTCAAGATTTGTTGCCCCCCAACTTGTTACAAAACGACAATGCTTTGTTTATTTTATATTTTTTGTACATTTTCTTCAGTTTTCTGTGGTCCGTCCTCCCATTTTCTACCAGCCATTGCGGATCGATCTTCTCCTCAAAAGAGCCGTGATGAATACCTCTTTGGCCAATTATTAATCGCATTTTATTTGTGGATGAGAACAAAATTCCCACGCACAAGTCGCCATCCATGTTTTGGAAAAGCTAGGAACGCCCTTGAGGTGTTTTGGTTGGTGAAAAGATCAAATTTATTTAAAACTTATTGCATGGAAGGGCCATAAACTATGGACAATAAACAAAGGATTCGTTTAGAACAGTTTATAAATAGCTTATAAGCTGTTTTTTAATAGTGATTTATAGAATATGAGACAAGTATATAAAAGAAATTTTGTCTTGATTTATATAAAATGTGCTTATAAGAGATTTTTACCGTTCTGTCAAACGGGACCAAAAGTATCATCACTAGAAACATTAATGACATTCGTGAGCGAAACGGTGAGAGTACAGTTGAGGGCTTAAAAATAATGTTTATAAGCGGTTTGATATCACGTTTTAATCCAAAATTTTAAAGCCCGACTTTATGTATTGCACACTTATATATCTACACACACTATCTCCCATCTTAAATATAAATAGGATTTAATTTAATTTATAGTGCAAATTGCGCGATCTAGTATTTGAAATCGGAGGTAGTATACTATTAACCTAAATTATAGAGAGAATTCCATAACAAAAAAGTTTAAAAATATTAAATCACAAATTAAGTTTGGTTCTCACATTTTAATGACTTACAAATAATAACACCTTTTTATATGAATTTTTGATTTGAGATTTGTAACCATGGTTTTCAAGAGAAAACTATGCTTTTGAAAAAAAAACGATCCAAACACCTTTAAAAATTCAATAATTGATTAATATACGAAAACTGGTTTTCCAATAAGCCAAATTTTTCCATACTTTTTAGGTGCAAAACCTTGGTTTTATCAAAAATATATATACATACTAATTGTTAATCAATTATATAAATAACAAATTGATTTTACATATAGATATAATTACCTATTATTTATTTTATTTTATTATTAATTTGTACATAAAAAAGTGATTGTGATAACAACTATTCAAACATTCTCAATTTTTTAAAATCATTATTTTAACAAAATCAAGTCTTCTCAAAAATCTATTATCTAAAATAACTTTTATCCCTTTTTTCTAGAAGCTATTATCTTTTGTAAAATTTTTTTTGTGAGATTCTCCTTTAATTATATCCTATAGGTGACTTCCCATGTACATCTTCAAATTGACATTCTAATAGACGGTATAACGCCCAACTTAAGAGTATATTTGACTTCCATTAAATGGATAAGGGATCACTTCTTTTTCCAGATAGATGAATAACTTCATTGCTACTTTTCTAGCTACACATAACCGAGAGATTAATAGGTAAAAACAATCTTCTTTATAACAAAAGTATATGGATGCTTCTGAATTAACGACTTGATGCAAGGAATTGATACAATATTGGTAATGTACGAGGAATGGAGAGGGAGAAGATTTCGAATCAGACTGCTCTTAGAAATCGGACAAGTGAAAATAAGTAAGCTAAGGTTACTTTAGCTTGGCATAGCCATTAAATAAGTGGTGTTCTCTTAAAATATCATATAAAGGGATACGTGAGTGTTTGGATAGAAACCAAATTATGGTTTCAAAAGCACTTTTATTGTTTATGAAATAAATATGTGGAAGAGTTTGTTTCGTTTTATAGAAAAGTCCTTCTCAGAAGTACTTTTCAAGATTGCTAAGCACCTAATGAGTAGCTTCTAAATGATGAATAACAAGTACTTCTTCTTGTCCTCTTCATAAGACCTTACCCATTACTCCTTAAAATAAGACTCTTTACAAATTTTAATAAAATAGTTGTGACTTACTTTAAAAAGGTGTTAGTCCTAATAGAAAATGTCATAACCTTTTAAGCATAAGGTATCAAGTTTAAATATGCGTAAATGTAAAAAACTCTTTTGGAAGACCTATCCTTAATTGAGCTTAATGATGCTCAAATTTGACTTAATAATACTTGATATATATCTGATAACTACTCCTCTAGACCTATTTATAGGGCACAGAGAGAAGACATTTTTGGGTCCTATTTATATGGTACCGAGAGAAATTTTTTGTATGGATGTACAATTTTACGCTTCATTTATTATTGTGTTGACTTTGTTTACATGAGGTATAATGTATATTAAATAGGGATAAAGTTAGAAAGTTACTAAATTTTAAATAAGAGTTAATAAAATTTAATATTTTTCTTGCTATGTGTGAAACATGCTGGGAGTACCTTATAAATACGACTAAAGGAGTATATATGAAAAGAGAGAGAAAAAGAACAAGCAGATGAAGAAAATACTCTCCAGATTTGTTTAAGAAGAAGAAAAGAGTTCTCCATTTTGCGCAAGTCTTAATCTGTGTCCCCTTTTGATCTGCAAATTATATAGATTCTGCTAGATGGAGAAATATCCATCTTTTGCTTGCCATTATTGAGTCTCTAGAAGTTGGCATTTAGTTAATCTATCTTGTCTGTAATATATCTATGGATTTTGACGAAGGAAAAATAACATATGCAAGACGAGGAGAGAACATATATAATTGATTTTAGCCATTTCTACAATTTGCTATCAAATTTCTCCAGCATACCGCTGCAAATAAGCTTTTACCCTTTCAATGTCAATTCTGGTAATCAAGCATAGAAGAAATTTACAATTGAGAAATAATTTAAGTCATTCTCTCTAACATTAGGAGTCAAATTTTTTAAAAAATTTACAATTTATCATATATGTGTGTGTTTTTCGCCCTCAAATTCTTAAGATAATTTATTAGTAATAACTCTATTTGAAAAGGTCTATCAATAATTAGTTTCCTTACATGTGAATAATTCACTATAATATTCCCAAAAATTATGGACACGTACCAGCAAGCACACCAATAATATGCACGATAATGGAAAGCATGGTCTGCTTTGAGACAGAGGCTGGGAAAATATTCAAGGATAGGACAAAAAGGTTATCATAAAAACAGGGAGGCATTACGATGCATGGTTGAAATTTAGTGAGAGAAGGCAAACCATAAAAGTGACGAAAAATAAAGTAGAAAATCCAAAAGCGACCAACAAATTGAAGATAAAGGGTGATGAAGGTATCTCCAAGGAATTACAAAATGTTCTAACAAAAGGGACCACCTAAGAAAGTACAAATGGATAGAGAGGTATGGAGAAGACCATGACACAAATTAAACGATTTAAAGATGAAGAGCATGGTTGTATAAAAAAAAACAAAAGATGAAGAGTATGTGTTAAAAGAAGTCCCAGAAATGAAAAGAGTGAAGTAAAGAGCGGAACCAAATGATCTTTTGATTTTTGAATTGGCCAATCTTTGAATTACATATGAGGTTACTAATAGGAGTTGAGCCCAATCAAAAGGACTAATCTCCCATAACTTAATAAATTAGGGCTTGAATTCATGTTATGAGAGATACACATTTAATACTTGACAGTGATTCGAGTATGATTGCTTTGATTACCTATAAACAACAAGTAGTGGCACAGGAGATTAATCAGGAGGGAGAATAAGATGGTGAAAGGCACTAAAATTTTCATTAGTTGCCAATAACCTTTACTAGTGGTACATTGGTTGTCATTATTGACTACGTACACAAACTGAATTCAACCACTTACTACCTTCCGGTCTTTAATATAAGATCTAATTTGATTTTTAATTTGATCATAAATATAAGACCCTAGTCTATTTTGTCTCCATATTTATCTATTTTTTCAAAGAATCCCTACAGTAGTTACATATGTTAAGTGTTTCATTAAATTGTAGTTCTAATCAATACACATGATTGGCAAGTGGTATTTTAGAGAAAATAATACATACTTATTACAAATAACTAACTTAACAAACTTTCTTAATATACTTAAATTAGCCAACTAGCTCTTATATTAAGGACCAGACGTAGTATTAAAAAACAAAAATCCAAGATTTATGTCGCATCAAAGTCACTTTGCCTTTATTTACTTGTCACCGATGGTGGTGGCTGCGATAGTTGGCCGGCGATGATCTTCGGCAACCAACCATGGAGACTGATAAATTTACACTAAAATTCATATAAAATTAAAAGATACAAGACTTAAGAATAATTCCGTGTTTTTAAATGATTTTTTTTTTTTACTTTGGATTGTTGTGTGGTGTGAAAGTAATTTTCTTTAAATATTAAGTTGTGTTGTGTTGGATATTAGGCAGGATACTAGTCCTTGAGTGTAATTATCCTTGTTTTCATTTGCATTGCGACTATGTTAGCCAAGAATCTAACCTCGATCCCGAACCTACGCGTGACCGTTACACCAAACCAGGATTTGAATTGCTTTGTTTTCAACCATCCTCTCTGCTCTTACCCCCCCCCCCAAAAAAAAAAAAACCGTTCTCTCTGCTTTTTCTCTATTTCTTCTTTCGCAGCAAAATCTCACCTCAACGGTCTCTCCCCCCTCCCCCCCCAAAAAAAAAAAAGCTGTTCAAAATCTTCTCAATGGTAGCAAAGATCAAAAGAATTCCAACAAAATCCATGAAACCTCGCCGTAAGCGAAAATCTCCGATCGAACATGTGGTGACTATCTCCTCCGCTGTCCTCTCCTCCATCCGCGGCCGGATCACCAAACTCTTCTCCAAATTGACACAAATCTCCACTCCCAATCGTCGCCATAAACGCTATCGGTTCCTGAAAAAGATACCCCACTGGAAAGAAGAACAATTTTATGAACAATCCTTGAACTCTTTTCGCATAAATCTCTTTTCTGATCCCTTCTTGTTACCCTCATTGAATTCCCCCGATAGAAAAACCGTCTTTCTCGACCTGGACGAAACCTTAGTCCATTCCAAGGCCAATGCACCACCAGAACGATTTGACTTTGTTGTGAGGCCGCAAATCGACGGTGAGATTATGACATTCTATGTTCTGAAGCGGCCAGGAGTGGATGACTTCTTAGAATCATTGGCGGCGAAGTATGAGGTGGTGGTTTTCACGGCTGCGCTGGAAGCTTATGCCTCGATTGTTCTTGATCAGATTGACCGGAACGGACGGATTTCTCACCGGCTTTATCGTGATTCGTGCAGGGAAATAGATGGGAAGCTTGTGAAGGACTTGTCTACGATGGGTAGGGATTTGAAACGGGTTGTTATCGTTGATGATAACCCAAATTCGTATGCGAAACAGCCTAACAACGCGATTCGCATTCGGCCATTTATCGATGATCTTGGTGATCAAGAACTATGGAAGCTGATCAAATTTTTTGAGGTCTCCGATAGTTTTGAAGACATGAGAGACGCTGTGAAGAAATTCATAAGCTTTGGAGAATTGACATTGTGATCTTGTCAGACAGGTAATCTTTTTACTGTTACTAATGCATTGTAATGTATGTGTGTAAATATATATATATATATATATATATATATGAGTGTATCAATGAATGTATTTGTATATTCTGCTCAAAAAAGGAATGTATTTGTTTATAAATAAGCATACATGGCCAGTGTTTTGATTTTAAACAGGAAGAAAATGTGAAATTATTAGAGTTTTTAACTTACAATTTTGCGCATTACAAACACAGTCCTCTTTGCTCTGGCCCTGAATCTCTGTTTTTTTATTGTTCGTCAGCTTGAACATCCAGGGAATCATAATTTTTTTCATAGCAGAGTTCTTAAACTTTTAATTTTTCTCAATCATAGATTTTTAAATAGTTTTATTTAAATTATAAATAAAAGTATATGTTTGTGATGTCGATAAAGTTTTCTCCCCCTTAATAGTATCATCACAAGGGTCATGTAAGAATATCAAGAATTCAGTGTAGTTATGTCTAGATTTTGGAGCTTCTTTGTTTGAATTAGTGAGGAAATTCACTATATTAGTTATATTATGGGGGGCCTTTGGCTATGAATTAATTTTCTTAATTAATTTTCTCCCTTGATTCCTTGGAGAGTTCGAACAAGTGGTGTGTTTCATTTGCTCTAACACAAAAGACCAGCAGACAATCATAACGGCATAGTAAAACCAGGACCTGGCCTAATTACCTTGGAGATGGAGGCCTTAGTACTCTGCAACAATATTCCAGTCATTGGGCTTTTTGTTTTTCCGGCCTTGTGTCGTGGGGCAATTTAATTCTTATATTCTATGCTACGATAACCAGCCTGTTTTGCGTCTTTGGGCCTTTTCAAGATTTACTGATCTCTTGACGTTCTTCTACGTTGCTCCTTTAATCTTATTTATAAAACATTTTTAATATATTTCACATAAGCTAGGAAAATCTTAAAATATATTAACTCTTCATTAAAATATAATAAATTTTTAATTTTACCCCTATTTAATGTATATCTTTCAAAAGAAATAACTATCCACATTATAATAAATGAATGACAAAATAATACATTTATATTAAAAATTTAATATATAAATAGCGCCGAAAGAATATGTAGTTAAGATACAAATTTATCTACTCTTCCGATCTTTAATATAAGACTCATGTAACTAATTTGATTAGATTAAGGAAGTTCGGTAAGTTAGTTAATTATAAGAAAAGTAATACATTTTTCCTAAAACACCATAATCATCTTTCTTAATATCCTATCTCACTCTTTTACTTAATTATGGTTGAGGGAGTATCCATAGGGATAATTTAGAAAAAATTGATAAATATGAGAAATGGGTCTTATATTTAGGACCAAAACCAACTCAAGAATTGAGTCATATATTAAGAACTGGAAGAGTAGAAATTTTTGTTCAGGAGTAATGTTGTTTTGAAAGTTTCAAAACATAATAACATTGCCTTTTGACCAAAACAAATATAGTAATGTTGCCCACTTTTATTTAAAAACTGATATTAACTGTTAAAATGTCAATATTAAGCGTTAATATTGTTAATAGTAAAATTGGCTCATCAGTAAAGACTTTTAAGGTAAATTCCCACTTTAATGTATATGATCAGTCGGGGGGGTCATATATGTGGCATGATCGGATTGGGAAATTGATGGCTAGACTAGGATAGAACGATGATTCCAGCAATGTTGCAATTAAATCTCCTTATTAATTTATAACTTATTTCTTTGTCATTATTAGGTTAAAAAAAATGTTACTGTTCTTAAAGTGCTTCTCCGAAAAGAACAAGTAATTCGGATAAAAAATATTAAAATGTAAAAGGACAGACAAGATTAAAGTCCCATACTTTACTTTTCTTAAAATATTTATTCGATTCTTAATACAAGACTTAATTTTAAATTGATTTTAACTTTAAAAATAAGACTTATTTATCATACTTATCAATTTTTTTCTAAATTATTCATGTTAATACTCCATCTGATATAATCAAGTAAGAAAAAGACAGAGAATATTAAAGAAGTTGATTATAGTGTTTTAAAAAAACATATCATATTTTTTTATAATTAACTAACTCACCTAACTTTTTTAATCTAATCAAATTAGTCAAATAGATCTTATATTAAAGACAAAAAGAGTATTATCTTAAAATTGTGGGGGTTGAATTTTAGGAGGGAAAAAACCACATGTTCCTTGCAAGAAAACTGACAGATCTCAGAAAGAGCTTCTCCTCCTCGTCAACGCCTCTCTGGTGGCAGTCGCTTATGACACTTCTTCGCCCTCTTCGTTGTTGAACGGAAGCCAGAGAAACGATCGACGGCGGGACTACGACAGAAATCAAATTAAGCAAATGATCAAGTGCAATATGAGAGAAATCAAATTAAAAAAATTATCATATTTAAATGATTAACACAAACTTTGACCCCTTAAACTGCTTTCATTTTGATTTTATTCTCTTGAGTTTATTTTTATTTATAACATTGGTCTTTATAATTTAATAAAAATTTATACCATTTTACCCTCTCCAATGGACCAAAACTTATGGTTTAAAACTTGAGGAATCAAGTCAAAATGAGGACGAAGGGGAGAGAGAGCGCACTGTCAGATCATCCTTTGCTATTGTGGGTTAACGGTGTTTGCAACATTAGTAACGGAAGGAGTTGTAAATTTAATAAAATTAACTACAAGGATTCAATAAAAAGAAATAAAACTATAAGGATCTAATTCAAAATCTGATCAAACTATAAGGACCTGCAAATGTATTTTTCAAAAAAAAAAAAAACAAAGAGCTTCTAATTGCATCACTAAGGGCTCGTTTGGAGTTCTGTAGGGGTGGAAACAGACCAGGTTTTCCTCTTAACAGGCCATGCTTGTCCTGTAACAAAACAGCCTGAGTCTAGCCTGTGGCCTGTTATAATCTTTTTCATTAGCCTGAGCCTGGCCTGTACAGAAACCTGATCTGACTTAAAGCCTGTTAAAAGGTCTGTATTTTTCAAAATCTACAAACAGGCTACCATGCCTCAGCCTTCAAACAGGCCGAAAACAGGAATCCGCAAAAAACAGGCCTAAGCCTTTAAACAAGCTGAAAATAGGCTTTAATTACATAAATCAATTTAAAATTATAACAACACAATCTCATCCAAAATCATCTAAAATACAACATATGGGTTGGCAGGATTTGATTAATCAACAAGATAACACAAAATACAACAACAGAACAATTTTGATTAAAATCACAACAACTTAGACCAAAAGGAAATATAGCCACTAGCTGCAAATCATCAAACTTTTAAGCTAATTTCTTCTTCATGCTCGAACACCTTAAAAAAAAAGAAATCAAAATAATAATATTAGATTATAACATAATTTAACAAGAATAAAGAAAAGCATCATTTTTGGAATTTGGACCTTTGGTTTTTTCTTTGAAAGACTTCAATGTCTGTATATCAGAAGATACATGGGTATAAAATATAAAAGTTGATACGACTGTGCAACAGAAGAAACAGAATGCCTAAAAAATAATATATACAAAAGAACTGAAGAAGATTGCAAGCTTGTGAAGTTAGAGTAACAAAATATTTTATTACGATTTTTTTTTTTTGCATTCAAGGGCTAGACGTTGAAAAGGTTAAGAAAAATTTTGAAACTTAAAGCATCCAATTCCAATCAAAGTTTTTCAAGTTTATCTTTGAATTCGCCCTTACTGGTAATTCTGAGAACATAAAGACTCTAACATCATCGATATGTGAAATGAACTTTTGGTTTAGTGGAATCCAATTTGTCTAATAAAATGCCTACCTACTTAGAAAGGTTGCGCAATGCAGGAAAAAAGAAAAGTGAAACAGAAGAGCTTTGAACCATAAGGAGATAAGAGTGGACTGCACTTAAAGCTTAGTCCGGCGCCGCATTTTCAAGAGAATCAAGTTAAACTTTGCCAGGAAATTTCAGAACATGGGGGTTGAGCTTGAAACACATTGTTCGTTTGAAGGGAAAGGGAAAGGGAAAAAGACATGAAACAAATACAATATTTCACTTGGACTATACTATACCATTCTTATACTATCTAATTTATGATTCCCCATTCCCATTCAAAACAAATATGATTTAATATATATCCTACCTGATAGGCAAGGCAAGAAACATTGAGTAGCCGCAACGGTGAGCACAAATGAATGTTAGAGACCGAGTAGTGTAATGGCAAGCGCGGACGAAAAACGGAGGCTGGAGAGTCAGTAGTTGAGCACGATTGTGGAGACCGGAGAGAGCAAGCAGGAGCGGCTAGAGTTTTGGTTTGAACTAAAGAGGAAGAGTCGTGAATCATCATAAAAGAAGCCGAGGGCAATGTAGATTAAATAATTTTTTTCTTGCCAACTAATTAACTAATTTGGTTTAAAATTATAAACCATGCTTGTTGGGTGACAACTGAGCACCTGGGGCAAGTGGCAAAGCTCTTATCTTCTTGGCATTAGGTCTGAGCATAACATATTATTAATATATGTTACAGGCCCAGACCGGCATAATAGTCTTTATAGGCTTTCTAAAAAGCTTAACCCTAGCCTGATAAATAAAGTAGGCCCCTAAAAAAGCCTGAGCCTGTGTTTAATTTTTAACAGGCTAGGCTGTAGGTCCCTAACAGGCCGCCTGATCTATTTTCACCCTTAGAGTTTTGTTTAAAATAGACTTTTAAGTAAATTCACTTAAGTCGAGACAAAACTCTTCTCACATACTTACCTCGCATTCCATAAATCACGTTTAAAAAGTTACTTATAAGTCAATCCAAACAAGCCCTAAGTCATTTGTAAGGAGAAGTCTTGTCCTACATGTAACTCACTTATAGT